GCACAGTACAACTTTTCTTTTTAATGGTAACCACCTATTTTAACTATTTATTATTTTTCGCCTATTTTTTAATGAATTTTGATAGTTAAACTAACTTTCTAAGTCTAAAATTGACCAAGTTATAGCAATTTAATCAAAAAACTGCAAAATTCATGCGATTTACAGTTTTTTGACTTTTAAATCTAAAAATAATTATTTTAAGATTGTTTAAGTTTGTCATTTTCATCCCTAATTATTAAGTTGATAGTCGCACATGATTAAAATTTGAATTTCTGTATAATTTTCACTGTAATCTGTGTACGAGTTATAATTTAAAGTAGAAAAAACGTAAATAAGTACCTTACCTATGTTGTTTATTTCATTACATTTAATAGATCTATTAGGATCTATTAATAATTCATAACAAATTCAATTCTTATTTAAGTTATAAATTTATTTATTAATTAATTAATTTAGCGTATAAATTGTTCAAATTGTCCGCCGTGAACAAAACATGATTCAGCGCGTCGCGCGTCGTATAAATTCTTTATTTGTTGCAGCTGTAATTAGGTATACAGAAATTGAAATTTTAATCATGTGCGACTATCAACTTAATAATTAGGGATGAAAATGTCAAACCTAAACAATCTTAGAATAATTATTTTTAGATTTAAAAGTCAAAAAACTGTAAATCGCGTAAATTTTGCAGTTTTTTGGTTAAATTGCTATAACTTGGTCAATTTTAGACTTAGAAAGTTAGTTTAACTATCAAAATTCATTAAAAATATAGGCGAAAAATAATAAATAGTTAAAATATGTGGTTACCATTAAAAAAATATTCAAAGGCCATAAAAATGTGTATTTTTGTGTCTTAAAAACCGATCAAAACACAGAATTCAAATCGCAGGACTCTACACAAATTTATTGAGCAGTGTTTATTTCAGACCTTCTATCCCGGGGGGGGGGGTATCATAAATTTTCAAGGGGGTATGCCTTAGAAGTAAATAATTAAGGGAAGTAAAAATATCGTTTTAAGCTCAATTTATTGGTTCTAGATAGATACCTACGAATACATAAATTCTTAAAAAAAATAAATAATTTTGGTTAATTATATGAAAACAAATTTAACAGACATTTACTACCTATACATACATTACTTATACATTTTATATTAAATAATACTCCATTATGATAAAGTCATATATATTTTAATATTTATTATGTAGGTATATTAAATTAAATTAAACGAATCCGGCGCTGTTTTTGACGTGCGTACAAATCAATTACCTCATTCACAGTATCTTCATCGAGTTCTGAGGGTCCTTCTGTGCTAATTTTCATGCAGGATTGTAAAATTTCTTGTCCCATTCGATTTCTTATTTTGTTCATAATCCTATTCACCGTACTGAAAGAGCGCTCCGCAGTGGCCGTTGAAACTAGTACACACATTAAACATTCTGCCAGTTTTTTCAAATTTGTATTGTTTTATATTTAATTTTTTTTTATGGATTTGAATTTATTTTATAATACTACAGAGATGATAGTTTTAATTTATACCTATGGATTAAAAAATAAAAGTAATAGAATTTTATAATTTGTTTTTGCTGTTAAAATATTTCGCGATTTTAACTGGCACCCGTTTAAAAATATTCATTTTAAAATGCATATGTATTTTGTATATTTAAGTGCATATCAGGTAATTTTTTAGAGCTACAAGTCCTCTGCCCTACTGATGACTAACAACTATTGATATTTGATATACGAAAAGGTAATACCCAACAAATTATTATGTTAAATATTTATTTTATTTTATTATCAACCGTGGTCCGTGATGCACAAAATAACTTACATTCGACCGATAACTCGTTTCACACATTATCGCATCACAATATGTTCTCGGCGTTTACACACTGTATTTATTCATTATTTATTGTTGTCTAACTACAACGGTTCTCATCTGGGGAGGTTCCATTGTTCCAACAATCATTTTAGGATCGCCAATACATAAAATAGCTAGAAAGGTGTTTTATAAATACCTATCATCATAATAACCATTATTGAGAATTACAATTGATAACAATTTAAAATTATCGATAAAAACGTAGGATTTACAACATGAAATTTGGAAATACCTCTAAATATAAATATAAAGATATACGAACTACGAACCAATGCAATAAATTTACGTATTTTTAAAGTGATGTGTGATTAAATGAGTTCAAGTTATACAAGTTTGATGCTACACTCGATGGTTATTACGGGGAAAAATCTTAATTCGTTTATTTCACCTTAAAAGTTAAAACCTAAATTGAAATATTATTAAAAGATAAAAATCTGCGACGTACTAACTATTTATTTTTTTATCTATTGTGTTTTTTATTTTAACTAAAATTATACTTAATCAATAATCAGTACTCAGTATAAAAAATAAATACATTTGCAGAAAGTCCTGCAAAAAAAAATTCTAAAAAATCGCTTGGGAACTAACTAGAATTGTTCCGTTTTTATTCAATTTATACTTAATTATTTATTTTCACGCAAATGTTAACTTATTTTATAGCTTTGAAATAACAAATTAAAGATGGGTATCTGATACCAATATTAAATATTAAGCAAAGGTGGGTAAGTTAATGAAAAAATTATACTTGAGTTAATTAAGTTAATAGTTAAAGTTGACAATATTTTTAACTGTATAAGTGTAAAGTTACAATTTTAAAAATATCCAATTATCAAATATTTTGTCAGAAATTCATTCTATCAGGAGCAGACTTAGGTATCTAGAGGTCCTGAGGGTTAATCAACTGGACCTATTACTAGCACATTTTAATTAATAAATATTTTTAGTAAATAGTACACAATTCATTTTCATTCATTAGAAAATAAATGGTGTTTCACTATTATATTTTAATATTAAATTTTATACTTAAATATGTATAATATTTATTAATTAACAATATCAAGGGCCCGGAAGGTGATTGCCCTTTTGCCTCCTTGGTCAGTCCGCTCTTGCATTCTATACTATCATTTCTTTGTTTTTTTAGCATACTAACCACAACGCTATAAGAAGAAACTATAAATAATAATTATTTATTTATTTTTTCTATCATAAGATGTAAATACCAATAAATAAACATAAAAAACATGAATTACATTCATTCTTTATTTTATAAAATGTTATAGATTTTTACTGTTGAAATACATGAAGGGACAAAATGATACCTTCACACACAATTACGCTGCTGAATTACACAAAGAGAAAGGATGTTAGAATGTGCCATCCTGGCTTCTAAGATAAAATGGAAAAAACCATTTTTATATTATAAAAGTACCAAAGTGGTAAGATCTATAGGAACCTATAATGGTTTCGGAGACAGATCCTTAAATTTGTGATATATACATATTATGTATGACTTATGAGTTATGACTGTTGTATATTAATCACATGAAAAGAAATATTTTTTTAATGTTTGAACAGATATAGACAATAAAATGTACAATACTCAATACAAAGTATATAAATATAATTATATAATATACTAAACAATTTAGTATAAAATATGATTCCAAACAATTAAAAAATTCACTGAATTCACAATGAAGTATATCACAAATTCAAGAATCAGGTATTCCATTACAGATGTATTGGGTAAATAACACCGGGCTCTAAATATATAAAATATTGTGTTAAAAAAAACACATATCCATTAAAAATTATTTCTTGAATTGAAATAATTGAATGGTACTTTTTAAAAAAATTTAAAAAATAATATTGAACAAAACGAAGTTATACCTATTTACATAGATAAGGCATTTTCAGAATTGTTTTTAGTATACATTTTTTTTTTCTTTAAATTAATACTTACAAGAACATTACAATAATCTTGAATATGTATTTGTTTAGAATCTACAAATTGTAATTAGGAACAATTATAATTATACATTTATTATTGAATTTATGACAAAACATTTAGTCAAGACTCATGATTGCTACTTGTCACATATATATAATATACATATTATATAACACATAAGTATAAATATATATAGTTACAAAAAAAAAAAAAAAAATGTTAGTTTACACAATTTATCAAACTAAAGTCAAATTAAAACATTATTTACACCACTTTTTATGAAATAATAAAATAAAAGTATAAAAACACTTTTAACTAAAATTAATGAATACATATAACCAAATTATCTATGAGTTTGTTTTCTCTTTTTTCTTTCTTTTGCGTATTGGAACTGAACCAGAATCATGTCTTATAATTATATATATATTATGTAATATATGTTTAAACTTAAATCTAAGCTTCAGGTAACAAAGGTTCAACTTTAAATATTTGTGTACTATGGAAACTACATAAGTAGTTTTATTTATAAAAGACAGTCTTATAGGAATATGATTTATAAAATAATAATAATGATAATAATAATAATAATAATAAAAATAATAATAATAAAAAACTATAGACTATTTAATTGCACACCTGTGGAAAGAAAAGAAAAAAAGGAACTAAACCTATATTGAAAAAATACACTGGCTTTGGCATTGAGCAAGTTCAATCTGATTTTACCCATGTGGCGGGTAATTCACAGGAAGTTAAAAAAAAAAATGTTCAATTAATATTGCAAAGATGGGTAAAATATTATATATATTTTTTTATAAATTAAAAATAATAACTATTTTATATCTAAAATATAAAAAATTGTGTACATAAACACAAGCAAATTATTGATGTTTTAAAAGGTTTTTAACAAAAATATGAAAAAATGTATTTATAATTAAATATTTTTGGGAAATTCACTATAAAATAAAAAAAAAGTGTTATACTTGAACAACTTGTCATGGTTTAATTCCCAAAACTATTGTTTTCTCAATCAATTTTTTGTCTAATAATATAACTAGTAAATTAAATTTGTTTGAAGTTTTTTTCACACATTAAAAAATAAAAAAATTATTCATTTTTAAACTACCATAAAGGTCAATAATTATTTAAGTTAATATTATAACAAAATATGGTTTTAAAAAATAAAAAGAATGAACTGTTTAGTGTATACTTAAAGAAAATCACACACATTTTAATATTATTGATATAACATATTTAAATGTGTGTATGTATGTATATATTATATACAAAATATTAATTGTGTGATTTATCTATAAAATAAATATCTATACACATAACATAGACCCATCTCTGCATATTTGACACAACAATTAGGAACTATATAAATATAAAAACAAAATATACCATATAAAAGAGAAAAAAAGTTTGATCTAAAAAATTACTTCTATTAAAAAAAAATATATATATATAATAATAATAAAATTACGGTCAGCATATAGTGGTATTTATACCATTACCATTATGTATGGACATATATCCGTTAGGTGGCCTTTTACATACAAAGTTTTCAATATGTAACCGTTGCAACTCATTATCTGAATCTTCTTCATCATCATCATCTTCTTCCAGATCTGCTTTTGGTGCTAACCGTTCACCAGGCAATGACCCTCCCCAATAATGTGCTTGATTTTCTAATGCTGTTGTAATTTGGTCTCTTTCAATTTGCTTACGCTCTCTCTCCAAAGACTCAGTTTCAGTGATACCATTTTCAGATACATCAAGTCGTTGTATTTCAGACTGTAATTCATTATGATAAAAGGACGTTTGTGCAAAATCTGCACGAGCGCATGGCAAGAACATTTTTACTATTTCAGCAAATGTAGGACGTTCTGAAGCTTTAAAACGCCAACAAAGTTTCATACAATCATATATAATATCAGGACAGTTATCCGGTTTTTCCATTATACCACCACTACTAACATAAGTTATGACATTCTTATCCATCTCACCCTAAAACATTAAACATTATCCAACCATTAATAATTGTAAAATAAAAAAATAATACTTTTGTATATTTACTCTATATGGTTGAGCTGCTAATGTCACCATTTCCCATAAAACTATCCCATAACTCCAGACATCAGAAAAACAAGTGAAAAGACCAGACTGAAGACTTTCTGGAGCCATCCATCGAATTGGCATCATACCTTCAGAATCTAAAATTCAATTAAAATTAAAATAAGTAGAAAAATAACCAACTTAGAATAAACATTTACCTTTTCTATAATAATCTGTCTGATAAATATCTCTTGTAAGACCAAAGTCTCCAATTTTAACTATGTTATTATCACTAACCATACAATTTCTAGCTGCTAAATCCCTATGAACATATTTTTTGAATGAAAGGTAAGACATTCCATCAGCAATCTCAATAGCCATACGTAAATTATCCTGTAAAAAAATAAATGTATATATTATGAAAATAAAAATAAATTATTACATTTATTTAAAAATTATATACCCTTAATGTAGGAGGTTTAAGAGAAGGATCTGTTGCCATATCTGGACGATGTTTAAGCAAATATGACTTGAGATCACCTTGAGGCATTAATTCCATTAGAACAAATGCTGGTTGACCTTGTGATACAACACCATATAGGCGTACAACATGAGCTGAACAAAATTCCCTGTAAACAAATATATTGTAATAATATAACATAAAACATTATTTTATTTGTACAATTAATTTTAAAATATTTTAGTATATGTTTTAACTCACTTCATAACATTAGCTTCTGAAAGAAAATCATGCCGAACACTCATATTGTTATTTTCAGTAACGGTCTTAATTGCACATGGTACAATTTCATTTTCTTTTTTCTTCCAATTACCACGGTATACCATTCCAAAAGAACCTCGACCCAATGGTTCTAAAACTTCCACATCATCACGAGGAATTTCCCATTCATCAGTTTGATATTCTATAGAATGAACATCAGTAATTAAAACTATAGTAAACAGTACTCGTCCAATATGTTATCTACCGCACATTTGATGGTTTAGTATGCTATCTACCGTAAATATTCTATCTACACTGTCATTTTATGTTGGTGAAGTATGATATTCTGAATCACGTTTTGGACTATTATTCAGAACTTTTCTTAACTCACCACCACAAATTGCTTGGTTTTTAATTTTTATACAAGTTTGGTCAATTGGTAATAAACCGCGTATACTTAAAAAATTTTTGCACATCTCTTCACTTTAAATTATGTGCCGATATAAGTAACTAATAGTTGACAAACTCATAATGATAATTATTAAATAATATTTAATAATAAATAAATCACAATAAAACCACTATATAATCGATACGACTCATAAACACACACTACACAGGTATAATATAAAGGTATATCTACTAACCTACCTAACTTACTAAGGTTTAAATACAAATATAATATGATTTGGGTTTTCAATAAAAGTTTAATCTTAAATCTTAATTGCAAAATGATTAAGTATGTATAATATACAGAATACGGACATATGTAAATATTATACTAAACTATAATAAAATTACAGTAGATAGCATATTGGACGAGTACCTAGTACTAGTTAGTAACCTAACCTAGTACATGTATTATTAAATAATTCATTATTAATAATTAACCTCACCACAACTAACATAATCCGGATTGCATGTGACGAATAATCTTGTTGAAGCTAATTTATTTTTATAATAACGATGTAAAACATAGAATATCAACATAATTACAGCACCAATCATTCCAGTAACCATGAAGATAATAAACATCAATTGAGGAGTAGTAATTGAAAGCACCTCCTTAAAAATATATAATTAATTATAAATAACTATAGAAAAGAATTCAAATAAACACTTACAGGAATTAAAAAATAGCTATATTGTGTAAATTCTCCATAATCAGCTAATGACCTTGCACGTAATCGAAAACTATAATTTCCAGGTGCTACATTTGATAAAGTGTGCGAGTAATCAGATTGCTGATACTGCTGTCTGGTTATACAAACAACAGGTGGATTATTAAGCTGTTTAAACAATTAACATAAATTAAAACATTTATATTTTGTTTAAGTTAATAAATTTTAATTATTACATTATCTCCAACTTTTTTGTATTCTAACTGATAGCTAACGATAGGTCCATTTGAAATTTCAGGCTCTTTCCAAAATATCTTAATTGAACCAAGGTTGGTATCATTTGTATTAACAGCTTTAACACTAGAAGGATCAATTCTATCTGCAGAATCTAAAATTTTAAAAATAATTTAAATTCAATTTGTAATGAGGGAATTAAAAAAAAAAAAAACATGTATATCATGAATTCTGTTTGACATTTTTATAAGTACATTATTACTTTATTTCAGTAAAAAATGTTGACAATTAGCTAAAAATTATAGTAAATCAAAATTATTTTCAAAGTTATAGCCAATTGAAGTGTTATTTTTGTATTGTTACTTTAAAATCAGGTAACCACCATTTGTAAAAGGTTCTAACACTGAATATTTCAACAAAAACTTAATTTAATTTATAGTTTGATATATTAACTTAATATTTTAAGTCGAGGTTGGTTGCTTTAAAAGTTTAAATCTAAAACATCTATCAGTTATATATGCAAAACTGCACTAGATAGGTCATGGGTTAAGTATCAGTTTTTATATTTTAATAGATATTTTATAAATTTAAAAAAGTTCTAAAATATATGTTAGTTTTAAGCCCTGACTAATTTACATAGTGTGAATTATTTGACAAAAATTATTAAGAATCTATACAGCAAAATATAACAAATGATAGGTTTAAATACAAAGGTAAGGTTTTATTTTATATAAAACCTAAAACATTAATTAGTTTACCTTTTTTACTTGTTTGAGCAGTGGTCATTGCTTTTTGAATGCTACAATTACTAATGTTCTGATTTGACTCTTTGTTTTCATTTTTGAGCCATTCTCTACACACATATAATTCAATATTATAACTAGTAAAATGAGTTAAATTTTCATGCAACGTATAGGTCAACTGATTACTAGGAACTACTATTTTCTTATTTTCATCTAAAAAAAAAAAAAAAAGCAATAATAAAGTATTAATACTTAATATAAAATTATAGATACAAGAAAAATAAAAATATTATGCACATCAATAATCAATAAACCCTAAAAATATAAATTACATACTTTCCAAATTTTTATCTGCATCAGATACAACAGTTTTTGAAATAGTACTATTTGGAAATTCCTGTGGTTCAAAATTTGATAAATCACGTTTTTTCTTCGGTAAAGTATCACTTTTAGGAGGATTATTACTTTGAAAAAAAAAAAAAAAATATAAATATTAATGACATTAAATTCCATTCAAATGAAAAAAATTGGGAGAAAAGTAAGTAACCCTAATATTATTAATTATTAATAAAATGTAATTTTTTATTAGTAATGCAATAGGTTGAGTTAATTTTAATATTTAGAAAATGTCATAGTATATTAAAATATAATAGTGTACTTAAACATTTAAAGTTTCTATAAAATACAACAAAATAACTTGAGTTGTAAATCTTTGATTTCATAAAAAAATTTTTATTTAAATACTTTAATAAAAAATTATAATTTTACATTCAACTTTTTTTTTTTTAAATTCCAATAACAGTATACAATGACCTTAAAATTAAATTTACAAGCTTTTTGACTAGATGAAATAATTTTTATAAACATTTGTAGAAAAAAAATATCAATCTTTAAATGACTATAAATAGCTCAAAAAACAAAACAAGAAATAAAAAAAAAAATAACTTGTATAAAAAATGCTAATATAAAAATTCATGTTTTTCTCTTATTTATTTTTGTAATAAAAAGTACATGAAATTTTATACCACCATCCCTTCCCCTTTCAGCAGAAAAAAATAATAGTTCTCTAATTAGATTCACCTTTTAACTAGGAAAGATAGTTAACTTTAAATTTAAACATACAAACATAGGTCATAATAGAAACACAAAATAAATTTAAAAACATATTATTGTAAAATTAATACATTTATCTAAAATGAAGTAAAGGTAATATAATGTAAGTTTTACATACGTCTTAACATATAAAATGTTCTGCAAGTTATTTTCAAACTCTATCATTATTTGGATTTGTTGTTCATCTTTAAGTTTAGATTGTTTTTTTTCTGGTTGATCAGTGCAATTACAATTTTCTTTTTGATCATTATTAATTGTTTCAGCTTTATATCCAGAATAATTATCAGCAAATTCATTCACATTTGGACCTAAATATCAAATTATAAAAATATAAATAATATTGATTAAAACATAAATTTAAATGTTAAAAAAATTACATACTATTCTGACAATAATCCCTTTTCAATAACGAATCCCCAGATATGTTAATTGATGTATATTTAATGATGTAATGCTTAAGTTGACCATTGGGTTCAGCAGGAGGCATCCATTCAATGCTTATACTATCAGCAGTCACAGATTTAACACGAAGATTTTGTGGAGGACTTGGAGCTATAAAATGTAAATTTTATTGCTTAAATTTTATCAAAACAAATTTATGAAAAAACCTACTTCCTGGCATAGTACGAAAATAATTTATATCACTTTGTGCACCATTAGATTCTGAAGCCATTGTATATGTTTTTACATAATATGCATACTGTGTATAAGGTTTCAGTCCTGTTATAAGAGCAACTAAATCATCAGTAGTAATTTCTGTTGATTCCACATCATCTGTTTTCCATCTAAATATTAAATTAATTAAGAATTTCAATTTTATTCTTGTTTTTTAATTTTTTAGGAAGGAATTAAGAGGGTTAATGAAGAAGTAACCCAATAACTGCTCCCAAATATTTTAAAAAGTTTAACTTCAATTTTTATTCTATTTAATGTTTCATATTTACCCATCTCCACCACAAGCATCTCGACCATCATAGAGAGAAACATTTTTATATGGCGCTTCTAAGTAATAAACTACATAGCCTAACAATGTACGAGTATCATAATGTTCAAAAGGTCGCCATTTCAATAGAACTGAATTTGAAAGTACAACTTCTGTTGATACATTCAATTTTTTAACTGTACCTGGAAATAAAAATTAAATTTTAAAAAGAAGTATTTACAATAAATTATAAAAATTTATAAAAATTAATTTTTACAAGCCATTTTATCGCCATTTGAATTGGGTGCTACTTCCAAATCATCTACAATTTTAAATCTATCACCTAAATTAGCTTGTAATTGCTTTATTCTATATATACAAAGCTTTGGATTGAAGTGGAAAAATATCTGCCCACGTTCAATTCGTAATTCACCATCAGGTTTTCGAGTACTCCAATCCCACAATTCAACTAAATTTTGATTGTCCAAAACAACTAATGCATACCTTAAATTCGAAAAAATACACAGATTTAATTTAAAACTTAATATTATCAATATTATTAAGTATTTACTTTGAACTTTCTAATATTTCTCCTCTAATTACATGTAATTTTCTTAAAAAAGTTAATGATACTAATGGAAATGATCTAACCACTTTTAAGTAGCCAGTAATTTCTTCAATCATACTTAAACTTTCTTCTAATTCTTTTACAATGTTCACTGAAATATTCATAAACATAATTTAATAATTAATGACTAAAAAAAAAATATAGTTTATATTAACTTATTTAAATGTTTTTGGTACAGTAAAATATAATATAATTCATTTATTTGTATGATCATCTAAGAAGCTTTGTAATTAAATTTCATATTTTTATAAGGAATTAGTTAATAAAAATAATAATTGTTATACTTAACACACACTTATTTATTTTAAAAGTTAAAAAGTTTTTCTAATATCATTAATTTACACTTACTACCACCGCGAATTTGTATTTCTAATGATCCGTTAATAATAACACATCCTTTTAGTTTTTGTGCAGACTGGATACTTTCTACATTAGCTGCAATACAAACTTTACGACACGGTCCTAAAATAATACCAAATATAAAGATATATTCAATTAGTCAATGATTTAAATTCATAACAAAGCAAACTTTACCAGAACATTTTTGGCATTTAAATACTTTTCCATAAATGTTCTCAGTAGGAACTTCCTCAAATCCAGGAGGACATTCCATTACACAAGATTTATTATTAAAAGGTTTCCATGATTGTAAATGTAACCCATTTTGTAAGTCTCTTGATCGTGGCATACGATAACAATCACGTTCCACAATACAACGCCGGTTTTGATACTATAAAATGAAAAAGTATTAATAAAAAATGATCCTCTTGGACCCAATTGACATTATTTACTGTTAATGTATCAACTGGACATTCTTTCACACAATCCCGCTCATCTGCTAAATATTTACAAGCAAAACATTCATCATGATTAGGACCAGTACAACCTCCAAGACACTGTTCATGGCAACACGTGCCATCTTCAGTACAACTTAGATTACCACATTCTGATGGACAAACTAAAAAAACAATTATAATTATTACCTACAAAAAAGCGTGTTACAATAAAACTTTACCTTTTTGACAATGCTCAGTATTCCAACATAAAGGTTCATTAGTATAATTAGAAACAGAACAACTTTTGTCATTTGTCCATGGACATACAGGACATGCATTTACAGGACGATTATCCTAGTAATATTCAAAATATTAGGTATGACATTTTCATAGGGTATTTAATCAGTGGCGCTGAACTGATTTTTTTCTAAGCGTGGCAAAAAATAATCATTTATAACTACTAACCCTATTGAACCTAGATTAAGGAAGCCAAAGTTATCCACACTTTCTACCAGTCTCTTAAACTACAAAATATTATTTTAACAAGTTATATAAATTACTGCATAATATTTACATTTTAGTGTATTTAATAAATAAATAGATATTATAATTTTTAATCGACATAGAAGAAATTATTTGTATGACCATCTAAAAACCATATTTATAAAAGCCTGTACTTAGTTACTTATATTTTTATCTACATCATACCATACAGTACTTCTTTTTCATTCTAGATAGCATAAAGAACTGTTTATTAGCTATAGCAACTATACAGATATAAATATAACATATTTTATACAATAAAATGTTTTGTTTAACACAGTACTTTTTATTAAATACTATTAGTTATTTATCGTAAAACTATTAATTGAATAGTTGTCAACTATTTTTAACACAATCACACAGTGTATGTTTTAACATGCTAGAAAGAAACTTAACTAGTTAACTTTATTCATAACAAATGATAATATTATTATACTGCTTTTTCTCACATTTGCATAATTTTACAGAATTTTATACTTAAAAACTATATTTTATTTAAATTATTACGAGTATTAGAATTATGTAACTCAGGCTGAGAATATACCTATATTTAATATTATGTAGATTCAGCACCACTTGGTATTTTTATAATTTATAAACTTACATATATATCATGTGATTCTTTCCCAGATGGCGCAATTCTTATCCAGTCAATAGTTTGTGTAAAACAAAGCATTGGGTTTTTAGTGATGTAAACAGCTCCTCTAACAACATCCCTTAAATTGTACAAGCCCAATTCTTGCAAATGAACCATTTCATAAATTGCAATAGCATATGACATAAATAAGTCTTGTCCTCGGATTACAGACAGATTAGGGAAAAGTTTAGCAAGTGATTTTAAGCCATTTACACGATATAATAATAAATAACCAGTAATTTCTCTTAACTCAGGGAATGATAAAGATTCATAACTTGTTTCATTTGCATTATCAATTAAAACTATTTGAAGGAACCCTTCAATAACTCTACAACCACGAAGAGCATTCAGATTTTCAGCTTTATTTCTAATATCTTTACTTGGACATACTGAAAAAAATTATACAATATATATATATATATAAATATTAATAAATATTTACAATTTAAGATAATAATTTATAAAACTTACTTCTTCCAGCTGAGAAGTGTACTGCACTATTATTTGTAGGTTGAGTGGCCATTGGAGGTAAACTTGTAATTTGTGTTTGGTGTTCAGCAGATGTTTGACTGATACTAAGTATAGCAACACACCATAAAGCTATACTTAGAAAGTCAGATTTCCATATAGATTTTGAAGCTATCAACCATGGTTTTTGATAATGTTTTGGATTAACTTTGGAAAAATCAGTTGATGTTGAAGATCTTAAAATATTGTAATGTTCATAGTAAGTATTGGAAGAAAAATTCCCACATAATCGACATCCGCCCAAGCCAGGGCAGCTGTCACGTAAACAGCGTATTTTGTCACACTCTCCACACATTATAATAAAATGTATTTACATAGTTAATCTGAAAAATATTATAAAAAAAAAAAATTAAAAATAAACTATTAACATAATAGGTAGGTATAACATAATTTTTGTTTTTGACTAAATACAACAAGCTTGATAGGAACTATGTAAAAAAAAAATAATATTTTAATGGTTAAAATATTCTCAATGGAATGTGATAAGATAAAAAAAACAAGTTTCTGTAATAAATAAACAGGATATTTTATATTTTATCATTTTTATTGGTAATGAACTCAGAATAATAATAAATAGCATTATTAATGTTGCTACTTGCTTTTAGTATTCTATGATAAATGTTTATGTTACCTACTCATTTAATTAAATACACTAAATAAAAATAAATATATTTAAGGCAATTGTTTTTTTTTATACAGCAATATATACTAGGTTTAAATAGTGATAACTGATATTTATTCACGATTTAATTTTTCAGATTATTTAATTGATAAGTATAATATCTAAATAATAATAATAGACAACATAGAAACATTTAATTTCTAATATTTAATGATATTGTAGATAGGTACTATTATTTTCATTTTTGCTTTTTTGAATATTCAATACAAATTATAAGGTAATCTACTTAACAATTTAAATTTTAAATTCTATTAATAATTTAATTTAAACTAATAATAAATGTTTTGGTACTAAATTTAAAATTTAAAAATATATAACATACGATAAATATGTGATGAACTAATGAATTAGCTATAAGTCAAAATAAAATTTGGTAGGTACCTCTAACTATTAGTCATAAATATATAAATAAAAAACATGACACGTATCAGTTTCTTCAAGTTATATTTTTGAGATAGATACTAGACAAAAGTAATTAAATATTTATCAAAAATTCAATGATAATATTCTAATGTAGACTATTGACAATAATTATAAATAAACAATCAACAAATTATATTAATGTACCTATTGTGTTTATTATAATCACAAATATTTCAACTTAATATAATTAAATACAATGATTCATCTGTCAATACAAATTTAAAACTATTTGCATGGCCTGCCATAACATACTAAATACATTTATACAGTTGACTAATTTTAATTTACATTATTTCATCTATTTATTTATTTTTTGATTAACTTGAGTGTATCTCTTCATTTACATGATGTATAGGTACCTTAAGAATTTAAGTATAAAAAATACTAACCCAGCTAATAAAACAAATATACACAATAAATAAACAACCTACTTAAAAAATATGAATAATATCACAAATTTATCAAAAAAAATGTCCTCTTTATACTAATTTACTGTATTGAATTAAACCTATACAATTATAGGGAATCTGGAGAAAAAACCATTTTATACAAAATTTAACATATTTATTTATCAATAGAAATTAATTTTATACTATTACTACAATCCTATTATAATTTAGACATATATCTTAAAATAAATGAAAAATAATAAAGGTAGTAAAAAAATTTAGATATTTTATGGTAAAATATAAATTAGACATCCTGTACATAACATTAGAAATACACTTCACTATCACAAGATATTGAAACTTTAATTCTTAAATTTTTATTTTAATAAATGTTATAGTTTTTTTTTTAATTATAAATTATGAGGTTTAACTATTTTTAGATAAAAAAACAAAATCATCTCGTATAAACAATCTTAAATGCAAGATATAAATACAATTGATTTCAAGATACTTATGTCGGTTATCTATAAAATACCATGTTATTTTTATATCTTAAAATGGAAATTATTAACATAAACAAAAAACAATTATAAATTGTGTAATGAAAAATGTAATTCAACATCATACTTGCTGGTAAAAACCGTCATCTTACCTTGGGTTTTTTCTAGTTATTACCAATTATAGCAGTGACTCCCAAACTGTGAAGAACACCTTCTAAGGAAGTTTGAGATAAATATTGATGTTGTATATACTATACAATAGTACTAAGTACTAATAAAAAATGTAGTTTCAATTATACAAGGGTGGCACAATAAAATTTTTTTATCTAGGGAATGCATAAACAAAAAAAGTTTTAAAACCAGTGAATTATAAGTTATAAGTAGATACCTAAAGATAATAATCTATATGGTTATTATTGATAAATAAGTATTATAGATAAATATTGAGTAAGTATCTATCAAGGTGTGTAATACTTTAAAAACTCAAATGAACACTAAAAACTACTATTTTGAAATTTTAAAAAATTAAAAAAAAATAAATATTATACAGGTATTCATATTGTTAAGATTCTGAAATAACCATTATGTTATCTGAATAAGATGTAAGCTGATATTTCTACCTTATTTTTAAAAACTAAAAAGCTTTTTTCCATAAATAGCAACAATTATAGTTGTACATTTAGGTAAAAACCTTAACTAAGATTATACTTCGGTAATTAGACTTCCTCATTAATAAGTATTATTCTAGTATAAAAGTCTCATAGTTTGACTTCAAGCTTTAACTCAGGATTTGTTTAAAGAGTTCATAGCTCAATTATGATATCCAACCTCATTTTGTCACTTAATATAGAACTTTTTTCCCAAACCAATACAACCATGATCTTAATCTCCCTAAAAATACATAATCTTGTTTAATACCTTATTTAGCTACACCTTACTTTTCTCTAATACCTTGTGAACGTGTGTTGAATGAATACCCTTTTATACACTCCATACTCTATCAAATTCCATATTTCCTCTTTGCCATAACTAAGTGCCACTTATTGTCTCTTTTTAAATCTTCAAACATCTTTTTCAAAATTAGATAATGAGAGTTAGAAGGGGAAAATAGTGAGCAGAATTTTATTTATTTTTTTTGGGATATAATACTTATGTTTGATATACCTATAACCATATTTCTTATAAAAATCTAAATGCAATATTATAATTTTATTTTTATTTTTGCATATTTATAATACATGGAATATTAAATTTAAAAAAAAATGTTGTATGATTGTATCAATGGTATGGGGTATTTGGGGAGGGGGATTTAAAAAGATAAATGTTCTCCTTTAACCCCCTTTTTTTTATTTACTTATATTTATATGATCATAGTTGTGATTTTTTCATTCATCACTTTATCAATAAACAATAAAATGCTGGGATATTTAGCATCAACAAATTTAGTCATCTCCTCAAAGATATCCTAAATACATCATTGATTAGTACGACATATTAATGTAAAATTCTAGAATATACTAAGCTAATACCTACAATATTACTAACATATATATTAATCGATAAGAAGTTTTGCTGCATTATTAAAATTAAATTTCTTATGTTGACATGCATAAAAGTAAAGTTATTTAACAGGCTAATTATAATTTACAGGCTTATAGATACTTTATTAAACCCTATTAAACAATCTATAAACAAATACTTTTGTTGTATAAACATTTCAATATAATAAGATTTCTAAATGAAAAAGTAACATTAATTTAGCTATATTTAAAATTAAACAAATATAGGTAAATAAATAGTTGTCAATTATAAAGTAACTAGTTTAAATTCTTGAATAGTTGATAACATATTTTTTTAAAGTAATATTAATAATAATATAACCAATATAAGTATTATATCTTATGTGTATTCTTATTAATTTGATCTAAAAACAAGAAATAAAAATTGTAATATACCTATAATGTTTTATTTTTTTATCAAAATAATATCTAAGCATTACAGACAATCATAAAATAATATGTTTTTCTTTATATACCTACCTATTTATGCCAATATTAAAAACACCTAACAGTTTTAAGACATAGCAGACTACACAAATAAGGAAAAATTGTTATTTACAAAATTAATATCTACTTATTTCATTAAATGTTTTAAATAGAACAGAGCCAAGTAAACGTTGCAAAACTTTATAAACTTTAATTAATAACTTTATTTATACTAATACTGAAAACACAGAAAAATATGAAATGACTAATGAAAGATAATTCTAGAGATAACCAATTCAATAATAAACTGTACTTAATAATACAGTTCAATAGTAAAAAATAAATTAAAATTTTCTTAAAATATGAATATAGTTCTTCAATATATATTGAGTTACTGTTAAAAACTGAAAAATATACAATAGGTGTCTTGTATAAATACAAATATGTTGATAATAAAATGTATAATATAAGTACACATCTATCTAAGAAGAATTAAAAATTAGACGATTTATAATACCTATACCTTATTAATTAACAGAAAAGCATCACTGTTTGCAGCAGGATCCTATCGTCTCAACATTAATAATCACTTACATGTACATTGGCTAAAAGGTATACTCGGTGATATAGCATGCAGGTACTGCGCACTGATGTAAATTGGGTAGATACCAACTATATACAAACAATGAAAACGACGGTGGACAATTAATAATTTGCAAATAAAAACAATCTGTATGTAAAAAACGATCAAAAAATAGTATTCACACCCGATTCACAATAATTAAAACACTCACGAGGGCAGTGGTAAGTTGTAATAGTTGGCTATGAGTAGTAGAAGTAGTAACTAATAGTAAATATATATAATAGTAGGTACACATAATAAATTTCTTATCAGTGCTGATAATTTTGCAGACTTCTTATCACGACGAACCACCGTACGCGCAGAAAAAAAATATTTCCAATAGACTCATTTCATTTTTTTAACCCAAGTACCCCACGATTCGTTTCGTTTAAACGTAATTTTTTTCCTATACTCCTAAATGGTATGATATTAGTTAATCTCAACAACCGTAACACCTATATTTGTTTTCCCGCGTTAAAAAGACGTGTAACGCCTAACATGCCTAATCAACGTAGGATATAGACATCAATGTCACAAATGCACAAAAAAATTATTATTGGATGATCTTACCAATGCCATCCGTCATTTATTCATAACGAAAGTAATTGCTATTAATATTACATTATATTTTTATGGATTTCGACAGCACACACACACACACACTACTCACATTACAGTAGGTACCTACGTGTGACCTATACGCCCGTCTTATATAATATTACTATTATTTAGTATTTACTAATAATTAGGCGCTATTGGGTCTATTCCCATCTATAACTGCTACAACTGTTGTGTATGTACTAAGTAGATTATTTTTAACAGTATATAATGTGTGTGTAGTACACTAGTACCTACCTTTTCAATTCGTGTTGGTGTGACGCATTATCCGTAATTCGAATCTTGGGAACACGGCGGGGTGCGAGTACACACTTGTTTATTTCGTTTAGATCAGAAAAACACTCGACTCGGCGACGGCGGAGTAGAACGACGACGATCACGAATTACAATAATATTATTATATTATAAAATATTATATTATTACTGAAATAACGATGATTAAAATATTTATTACACTGTTGCGCACACAGGTCATAATTTTATATTTTTCAATCACTCGTCGTCGTTACACTCTGCAGGTATTGTAGTACACGCACAATAATATTATAATATGTACATCGAATGTGCAACACGACTGCAATACGATCAACCGCATTCGTAATCTTCGACACGGCGACGAGATCGTTGCGTATATTATATTATTAAAACGGAGCGAACGATACTACGTTGTTAAAACGATCGCGAAAACTGAGCAACGTTAAACTATTGCCCTCAGCGGAGGACGTTTTTAACAGAAAAATGCGCACAGCAAGCGCGTCGCTCCGCCATTGTCAACACAACACGCACCGCGGAGAAAAGGTCAATGACACCGGAGCTCGATGCGATCAAAACAACGCGAAATAATATCATAACGGAAAAACCCGGATTCGTCAACACGGTCGCACGAAAACGCGATTTTATAATAAATTATTATTAAATGTTATTTATTTTATTATGAACTGTTAATAATTATAAAAAAATAATAATTAATAATAATACAATACTTTAAAATAAACTGCGTACGATTTATTATTGTGATGTCGGTGGTTTTTCGTAATTACCAATTAAGTTATGGCGTTCTTGTTGTTTTTTTGTATACGATAAATAATAAAAAATAATAATTAATTAATATTATTATTGTATATCATGATATACGGATAAAACGCGAGTACGGAGTACGACGGACTTATAGTATGGCAGCGACGACGGCGGTGGCGGCGGCAGTGGTGACGATGACGGCGGCGGCGACGTGAGACGACCGACCGTCCACGAAATCGATGTTTATTTTATTATTATTATTATTATATGCACTCGGCTGTTTTAATGAATGAGAATATTATATCAGATATTATATACGTCGAGATGTGTGTAATAATGTTCTCGCAACAATTATGTACCATTATCATACACCATGCGTATGTCACGTTTTTTTTCCTCTTTATTATTATTATTATTATTACTGTTCTTATATATTTGCACACACTATTTCAATAATATTATATTATTTTAACGTATTACTCTATCGACTAGTGCTATAGCCCGTGCCGATTGCTACAGTTGTATACAGATATGATAATACGTATTATTTATAATATTATATTTGCGTACGCGGCAAACAATATATCATTCTAAAAATATGTATCACTGTATCAGGTGTAAGGTAAAATGTTTATTATATCGTGTCGACTGTCGATGACATCGTACGCGAAATCGCACACTTTCGCAGTACGGAAAAATATATTGTTACAGCAATAACGGAATACGGACGAACGGACGGTTTTTGCGGTACACTCTCGGACGCGGTTTCGGAGAATGTAAATAATAATAATTATTGTCTTCAACGACTACAATTTTTTACAGTACTTAACGATATTTTTTATGTTAATAACAATGTTTTATATCGTACGATGTGTTATTACAACGCGTTACGACAACGACAATAACAATATAATATTTTGATCGTACAACTATTACAGCAATACAATATAGCACGCCGCACGGTGTATAGATACGTCGCAGACAAGTGCGATCTGCTTCGCGCGCGTACACATACAACTATAAAATAGTAAAATACAACGCAATCGACTCCTCGGCAAATGCGCAATAAACACTCGCTCACGCAAACGCGCGCACACGCACAGCACGACGACCTATGGTCGGCGGTGGTGGCGGCGGCGTCGGCGTCGACACGGACGTCAGACCAGACAAAACAACGCACACCGGCCTGCCCCTCACTCCCCGACCATCGTCAGTCGCCGCAGTCCCCACCATCGTTGCCGGGGCAGTGTTGTTGTTATTTACATCCTCGGCGGCGGCGGCGGCTGCGGCGTCGGAAATCGGACACGGAATGGGGTTATGGGGAAAATATGTGAAACCGTGATCTAGATTACGGGGCGACGGGCGTACTGCAAGTAGTAGTCGCAGCAGCGGCCCACGCTGCCGCCGCAAGCGGTTTAATACGACCCATACGCGTGATTAAAGCAGCTGCCCGCGGATTCGCGCCTGGAGTCGATTATTTAATAATAATGCATAATATTTTACCCACTACCTATAAATATGAGAGGGGTTTGGCGAGTTCTGTTTTTTTTTTATTTCTTAACGAGTTGATTCGAGAATAAAAGTAATAAATAGCACTCAAAATCGTTAGAGTATATTTAAAAAAATGTTTAAATTGCAGTTCTATTATTGACATCTTAGTATATTAAGTAGGTATGGAAAAAAATTGAACATTGAGTAAATATTGGATTTCAAGATATTGGTTGTTTATTAATTTTTCCAACAAAACAGTCGAGTACTAAATTTAAGTCTAGTAAATTTGAGTATTTGATTCATGTTGGTTTCTAAATTTAATTCGAATGAAATCGAGTACTTGTATTTAGGAGTATAAAATAAATATGTGATAAAGTCGAGTACTTGACTCGAGAATTTTTACAAAATTTTAACTGAGACAAAAATTTTTAAAGAAATTGAGGTATATATGTCATATAGGTTGTCTAAAATTCTAAAAAATATTATCAGATGATGGTTTGAAAATACGAACTTATATTTTTTAAATGGTAATAAAATACAAATGTCATATAATTTTAAAGATTGTTGTGCAGAGGATTTCCACAAACACATTATAGCTTTATTTACATAATTTATAGACTTTAGTCAGGGGTGAATCCAAAAACTTATCAATGAGGGAGAGCACGAAATTGTTTTTATGTTTACGATTAAGCTGCTTAAGTTGTAATATAATATGTAAAAGCAACAAAAGTATGTAAACTTCCGGGAACATATAAAAGAAAAAAATTCAATCAAATAAATATTCTTCAATAACTATTTTAAAATACTTGAAATACAAAGTCATATTAGAGTCTATACTCTATAAGAATTAATAAGCAACAACAATCGAGTAAACAATCGTGTTTTATTAATTATAAAATAGTAATACAAATTCAAAAAAATCATTTAATAAATTTACGCTATTGGTAATACAAAAAAAGTACCTACATTTTTGTGATACAAAATCAAGTTTTCTTTAGAAATATGTTTATTTTATTTTGTTTGTTATTTTCACTGTCTAAATTTTTATCGTTATGGATATAGATACATAAGAACTAACCTAGTTAATTTTTTTACATTCATTCTAACCGGTATTTAAGTTTTAAGTAGCCGTAAAGAGGAAAAACTTCTTTCTGCTGTTACAACGGAAATCGGTAATGTAACTAATATTTAATAAATTATGTACCTAATATTTATAATTAAATAGAAGACCATCTTCGATCAGAATTTTATTTTTTTTCGTTTGAGATAATTCAATAATTTATCACTGAATTTAAACTTATTACATACATTACATTCATTTACTCTTCAGTGATGAGGTACATTCGACACTTAGACCACCTAACCTACTGTATGGCAGAGCAGTCACCTACTTTTCTGCTTTTTGTTATACAGGAATATATTTTTGTATGACGTAATAAACGTTTATCTTATACTTTATCTAAAAAATTTAATTTATCGGTTTTTGACAATTGATAATGTTGCTGTCATATGAAAAAAAGTAAAAAACACGATGTTTTGATATCAAATTAAAGCTTGATACGTATTTTTCTACAAAATCTGTTCTTATGATAACTCAAAAATATAACTTCAATCATAAAGAAATGAACTATAAATAAAATTCAGAATATCAAATACGATAATTCCTACAATTTAGTAGGTAGATAATGTAAATGCATTTACCCTCCATTTGCACGCAAACTAAAATCATGATTGTTTTTCTATTGCTTCAAAGGGTTTTTAAATCCAATTTAATTTAATTTAATACATCATTTATTAAAAAATCAAATAGATTATATATTATATTTATATAATATATACCTATAGTTCACATGAAAAATTTGTATTGCCAGTAAATATTTTATTTTATTTTTTTTACGGTATCTATAAAAAAACCAACGAAGTCATCAACCAAACTTAATGAGTATGATTTTGATCATCTTTATGGTTTTCGAGGTTACTGAGTAAACCAAGATAAATGTAAATATTGTTTAGGTATATAAAACTAAAAGATATTATAATATTATATTACCTAATAATAATCTGTACAGTCGAGAAATCATTTAGCAATAATGCAACCTCTTCAACTTAATGCTTTAGTATACACCAAATATATACTCATATATTGTAGAATATATAAGCATATAAATGTAATTAAAGAAAAATAAGGTATAACAAATAATAATATGTTTATTTTGTTGCTAAAACTCATAAATCTATCAATATTATACAAGTGTTATTGTAATGGACTAAAACTTTAGGAGGGGAGGCTTGAAAACATTTTGAAAGAATTGTGATGTTGATGCATTCAAATTGGTTCCCATTCCTAACTTCTATTTAAATTAATTACTGAAATTTTATGTGGCATTGATCTAAATTACTTTCAATTATAGAATTTTTCAAATAAATAGCAATTTTAAATATTTGTTATTTCAATTTTTGAAAAAGAAGCGAAATGCAACTTTATAATTTGACTAATTTGAGCCATTTAATAATATTTCCTTTTGATGAATAATTAATAAAAGTTATAAAAATTTAAATTAGATTTAAACTGCATTTAATTATTTAAACTTATACTTACTAAATGTAGATAGTGCTTATTATACATATAGATATAATCTGTATAAAATAAGAAAAAAAATTTAATTGCTTTTAAAATTAAGAAACCAATCGAATATATACCTTTTGAAATTTTGTTTGATTTGCTTACATTATGTTTTATGTATACCTACATATAAACATAATTATTATAAGTTAGAAGTTATAGCAGGGGCTAAATAGAAAAAAACAAAATTCGAAATAAGCACGGAGGTGTTGCTCTCCAAACCGCTTTTTATGAATATTTAACTAGAGTTTAACTGTAACAGATAATCCTGCATGCAAAATCAAAGTTAATAAGATAAAAATATAAATAAGATAGTTAAGTTAAATAAGATATATATTTACAATATACTTCACCCCAAACACTACTTGTTATTAAAATAATATATAATATTCAGCTTCTGTGCCTAGCAAATCGCGATAAAAATAAGTTATTTAAGCACAAAAAGTATAAGGGATGTCCTGCTGTATTGGTCCTAGTCTGTAATACTTACTTTGAGTTTAAAAAATAACAACTTCAATATTTATTGAGGCTAAAATCCTTTTATAGGGATGGGATTTTATACCCTTCAAGACTCGTCCCACTGTTTACCCCGTTTGCGTGCGACAAATTAATGACGTAATATTATAAACTAGGTATAAACATAAATGATTTATTTTTAATTATATATAATATAACTAACCATTTTTATCATATTTAGTATTAATTTTTCAAAATGAGTCACTAAATATATTTATTAAACATTATATTTCTTTATTATTTTGTTACCTAAATTAATCTTATCATTAGGTATATCACTAGTTATAAACATTTTTGACGATTCAACGTCAATACTTTAAGAATTGTTTTAACTTCATGTCTTCATTATTATGTATTTTATAATAATAGCTTGTAGATGACAAATCACAAATACACACATGTTCACTTTACCATGGATAGTCTTTTTACATTATACCAGTTTTAATTTAACTATTATTATTTTTTATATAAAAATCGGCTTCGGCATCATAATTCATAATAAATAATTAGTTTTGTCTAATTTATCTAGTATATTATATAACAAAATCTTAATTTAACACTATAATCTAGTGCGAACTAGTAGAAGGAATGTAAAGGAGTACCTCCCTCAAATCCCTAAAAATAGGTTTTATATAATTGTATAAAACAATTATTTATTTATTTTCAATTAGTAATCATTTTTAATTATCATTTTATGGGGCAAAAAAACATAGTTTTGCTAAAAATAGATAAAAACAGAAACCAAATTTCATTATTATTAAAAATACATTCAAGATAATTTCAAATCAATACAGTTGCTGATTTAACAATTTTCCTAATATTCATCAATATTTATATCAATTAAATTAAAATAAGAACTTAGGTTTATAGAAAGTTCTTTATTTTTAAATCTTGACTTTAAAAACCTACATTATGCTCATAAAACATTAAAGTATTAAACCAAATTTTGTTTCTGATTACTATTCAATATTTACCTAGTGGCTAATATCTACTATAAGAATATTTTATAATGTATTTATAGTAATCGAGGATTCTGTTATTGAGCCCTTCATTTTAATCTTTGTGTCAATTTACATATTATAACTGTATTTTATTATTGTACACTATATATATAGATTGTAAATTTTTTAATTTTTACAGAAAACATTGCATTTGAAAATATCATTGTATATATATATATATCGTGAGGCAATAAATGTTCAATAATTTTTAATTGATGCGTGGACAGCATACACATACATTTTCAAGCTTTTTGACTGAGCCAAACACTATATATTAACATTCTTAAAAAAAAAAAAAATTAAAAATAATCAAAAGAATCTCTATAAGTTGTTCAAATAGGGTTAAATTATATTTAAATTTCACCGTATGTAGGAAATAT